TAGATTCAAACTGTTGATCTTGGGGTTAGTAGCCCAATGAATAACCCACTAGGCTACCAAGGTTCTTTATATACTACTCTGTCATTGTTGGTAAGTGCCATCGAGTCAGTTCTGCCTCATAGACATAGGATTTCCAAGGAGGAGATGGAGGGTTTGAAATACTAATCTTGCAGTTAGCAGTCAATGCTGCAAAAACCCTATGGAGTCATGCAGGAATTTCTCTGGCTTCACAATGGGGAAAGAGAATCAAATTCACAATCAGCCCCAAACCCATTCCTATAAAGCAGTAGATGCCAGATATGCATCCACCCTACAACCTTCTTTATCCTATTCTGACAACAACCATCTCTCTGCTTCACATCTGGGTTCAATAATCCATTGCAATGGCCACACAAAATTCATAACACTACTCACAATTCTAGGGTTTATTAGGCAAATGGCCAGGGTACAACTCAGGATCAAAACTAACTCAGAATGCAGCTGTCTCCAGTAAAAAATGCCTCTTGTGGGCCATACTGCAGACATGCCTCACTCCTGTCTTCCGCCTTTCAGCGATGTGGTATTATGGCCTCTGACCTGCTCAGGCTACTGTTACCAAGCTCCTCTAGTCAGTGCAAATTTTGCTGTCTTTCTAGGTTTAAAGAAACCTTCTCAGAAGCACAGACAGATGATCCGTGGGTACACACAATCCAAGGCAGCCTCCTGTCCTAGGCAGTCAGCTTTACTTGACCCATGGACCTGGATGGCTACAATTGCTCCCCGTCTTTACCACCACTACTGCTGTTGCCTGTTTTCTAGGTGGGGATCTCACACTCCTTTCCTCATTTTCCTTTTTGGTGTGCTGGGATCATCTGTCCGTGCTCTGAGAAGGCTCCTTTAAACCTAGAAAGACGGCAAAATGAACTAACTGCAGCCTTGGAGTCCTGTATAACTTATTTGCATGGTCCCACCTGATCTCTTGGTGAGAATTAAGTAGATATTGGATAGACTGATGCTATCAAGTAAATTCAAGGAACCACAAGTACCTTATCCTACAGAGCAACACCAGGACTCCATATTCTACTATGCTTTTCTTAAGTGCCATGGAGTCAGTTCTACTCAGAGAGAACCCTATAGGGTTTCCAAGGAGTGGTTGGTGAATTTGATCCACCAAGATGTCTGTTAACAGTCCAGTGTTTTCTCTACACCATTCCGACCTCCTTATAATAAATGCTGTCAAGTTAGTTCAGTTTCCTGGTGAAGCTGCATAGGGTTTCCAAGGAGTAACTGGTAGTTTTGAACTGTCGACCTTGTGGTTTAAAGTCCAGTCTGATCCTACAGTAAGTCTTAAAATTTTACAAGTGTTGACTGAATATGAAACTATTGATCATTCCCCAACTGAAGCACAGAGTGGGCAGAGAATCATGGTTACTTTTCATCTCTATCCTCTCACCCCTGGACACTGGTTGCAAAAATAGAGTCAGGAATGTTCAGCAGACCAAATATACTGAAGCCCTATCTTTCCAGCCAGAGGATGGGAGATGGGGGTGGGGGTGGGGGGAGCAGAGGTCCTATTTTCATTTTCAAAATTGGAAAATGTAGGGGTGATGGCTTGTTGTTTGTTGTTGTTAGGTGCCATTGAGTCAGTACCAATTAAAAGCAACCCAATGCACAACAGAAGGAAACACTGCCCGGTCCTGGGCCAACCTCACAATTGTTGCCAAGCTTGAGTCCATCGATGCTGCCACTTTGCCAATCCTTCTCACTGGGGGTCTTCCTCTTTTTCTCTGGCCCTCCACCTTACCAAACATGATATCCTTTTCCAGCGACTGATCCCTCCTGACAATATGTCCGAAGTATAAGAGATGAAGTTTGGCCATCCTGGCCTGCAAGGAACACTCTGGTTGCACTTCTTCCAAAACAGATTTATTGGTTCTTTTGGCAGCCCATGGCACTTTTAATATTCTCCTCCAACACCATGACTAGAAAACATCAATCCTAGTACCGTCTTCCTTATTCACTGCTCAGTTTTTGCATGCATATGAGGTTATGAAAATACCATGGCTTGGGTCAGGTGTATCTTAGTCCTCAAGCTGACATCTTTGCTTTTCAACACTTTGAAAAGGTCTTGTACAGCAGATTTGCCTAATTCAATACATCATTTGATTTCCTGACTGCCGATTCTATCAGTGTTGATAGTTGATCAAAGAAGAATGAAGTCTTTGACAACTTCACTCTTTTCCCCGTTGGTAAGAATCTTATTTATTGGTCCAATGTTGACGATTTTTGTTTTCTTTACATTTAGATGCAATCTATACCCAATGCTGTGGTCTATGCTCTTCATCAGTAAATATTTAAAGTCCTTCTCCCTTTTAGGAAAGCAACGTTTTATCATCTGTATATCGTAGACTGTTAATAAGTCTTCCTCTAATCCTGATGTCACGTTTTTCTTCATATAACCCATCTTCTCGGACAATTTGCTCAGCATACATGTTGGATAAGTATGGTGAAAGAATACCACCCTGTTGAACACTTTTCTTAATTTTAAACTATTCAGTGTTCCCATGTTCTGTTCGAACAACTGCCTTTTGGTCCATGTGTAGATTCCTCATGAGCACAATGAAGTGCTCCGGAATACTCATACTTTGCAATATTGCCCATAGCTTGCCATGATCCACACAATCGAAAGGCTTTGCGTAGTCAATAAAGCACAGGTAAATACCTTTCTGGCAATGGTTTTTAGCCAATATCCATCAGACATCAGCAATGATATCCCTCATTCCACATCCTCTTCTGATTCCAGGTTGCACCTCTGGAAGTTCTCGGTCAATGTATGTTTGCCCCCATTTCTGTATTACCTTTAGTAAAAGTTTACTCGCATGGGATATCAAAGATATTGTCCCATGATTTCCACAGTCTGCTGGGTGATGGTTTGTTGTTGTTGTTGTTGTTAAGTGCCGTTGAGTCGGTTCCGACCCATAGCGACCCTGTACAGGGTTTCCGAGGGTGTAAATCCTTACGGGAGTAGAAAGCCTCATCTTTCTCCCGCAGAGCGGCTGGTAGTTTCGAACCACTGACCTTAAGGTTCGCAAACCGATTCGTAACCACTACGCTATTTAGAGGAAGAAAAATTTAAAAACAATCCCATGCACAGGCTGTTTGAATTCTATTCACACTCATTGAAAAAAAAACCTCCCAGCCTGCCATAGGGGACACTCAAGGCACAGGGTGAATCAGAGAGGCCTGGGCTCCTCCCCTAGTTCTACCCCATTACCTCACCCCCAGCACCACACCACTTCTGAGGAGACAACTTGGTAGTCTTCTGAAAGATATTCGGTTACTGTTCCCTGCCTGTCTCATCACTTGGGAAGAGCAGTGCTAACCATCTGTCCTTTGCTCTTGGAATGACCCTCTTTTTTCTGTTTTTGAGTAACACTTGAATTTTGCAAGGGTTATACTCTTTTTAATCATCACTTTTTTTCTTCTAGTTCCCTTTTCTTCTAGGGCCCAATAGAGGAAGACATGCTGTGGTCTCTTGTCTTGCTCCTAGCTATCCTGACTCCTGGTAAATGTGTTTCATGAGTGCTTAAGGGATTTTTAAAAAATGGGAGATTGTACTTAGAAATAACTCCTTTTGTGATTGTTATTACCTTTGCAGGAAGTCAGAAAACTTCCAACATGGAAATGAGACAGAAGTCAATCATCAGGCCAACTGGGGGATCTCTCGTAATCACTTGTGATTTTCAGAACACCCTGTATGTCCACTGGTACCGATACCAAGAGGGAAGAGCCCTGCAACGGTTCCTTTACTACAACTTCCACAACTCAAAAGTGATGTTGGATTCAGGGTTCAGTTCCGGGAAATACCATGCTTATGAAGATGCAAGGAAGAGCTGTGTATTTGTACTCAGTAATCTGGAAAAAAGCGATTCTGGTGTATATTACTGTGCCACTTGGTAAGGACACAGTGATTCAGACCTACCCTAACCCACACTTAAAATTTTTTTGTGGTTGCCAACAGCCATGTTACATCAGACAGACCTGCTCTTTTCTCCTCACTTCCTGCACCTGACTTCACTGTGTTCTTAACTATGAGAGACTTTGTGCTCAATACCTAACCCTCTGGTAGTGTAGTGGCCATGAGTTGGGCTGCAAATCTTATGGTCAACAGTTTGAAATTGCCAGTGGTTCTGTGGGAGAAAAATTAGGCTTTCTGTTCCTATAAAGATGTACAGCCTCAGAAACCCTGTGCAGGGTTGCTATGAGTCAGAACCGAATGGATGGCAATAAAACAACAACAGAAACACATACCAAAATAATTTCCCTGGAGGCTCTATGACCATTTAGCTGAGTAGCTGTGCACTAAGGGCAGGTGAATGCTCAGATCTCTCAAATGGTTGTTGGACACATGATCTGAGCTAACACTGATACATGGGAACCCAAATTGTCATTGTAGTCCCCAGATATAGTGAGGGTCTATGGAAGGCAGGCATTTATGGAGTTCTGGTCCCAGTTCGTCTCAAAGAATGGTCTAAGAGATATATGGATTGCCCAGGATCATTACCCTAGTTTCTGTGCATAGAATCAAGATTGATGTAAATAGCAATTCAGCCGAATCGTCATATTGGTCCCTTGATCTTTGTAGTTAGAGACATCATGGTAGAAAAAGGCAAATGAAAGCTTCTGAATCCCTTCCCATGCCAGTCAGGACTGTACATCAAAAGCAATACTGCATACCATGCATATGGCAGAGGTGGGAGACACTCTCAAAGACGTACGGGGTGTAGAGGTAGGGAATGCATCATATCCCCATTTAGTTAAACCAGTTTCTCATGAGAAATGAGTGAGCATCACAGCAATGCTGCAATGTTGAAATGTAGCATCTTTACTAGAATACGTACTTGTTATGTGGCTATGAATCTGGTGATTGTGGTTTTTGTTGTTTTTCCAATGTTCATCAGTACAGACTTTCAGATGCAATTCCCACTCATTTTGGGATGGGTGATCATACATATCCAAGGTCTTGGCCCAGTGCTTTGCAAACTCTCCTGACTTATGTTGCAATTCAGTCTGAAAGGGCTTTAATCATCTGGATATTTTTCAAAATAGCATAATGATCTGTTATATTGATAACATTAGATTGGTTGATTTCAAAACTCACCAATAAGTCATAATCAGCATAATGAGCTGTTTTGTTCAGTGTATAACTGCTGTTGTTTGCTTTATTAATATGAACAGATACTAAAAATATGACTTAAGTAGGGAGTGTTAGCAGTCCAGCAGGAGAGATTGAGCTGGGAAACAAAGAAAACATAGGTCTCATTAAAACTTAGTTATTAGGACCTTCACCTCAAGCCTTATACAAAAACCAACTCATAATTGATTAAAGACCTAAATGTGAATTCCAGAATTATGAAGGCCTTCAATGAAACAAAGGGATAAATGTGAGGGCACTAATTTGGGGAATACACAGACTATCAAACATTGTAAACACTACACAGACAAAAGTAGACAAAATAGATGATTGGGACATACTAAAAATTCAAAACTTATATACATCAAAAGTCTTCACCAGAAGAGTAAAAAATGAACACACAGAATGGGAAAAATCTTTTGCAATGACACATCAGACAAGGGACTCCTTTCTAAAATATATAGGGAACTACAACACCTCTACAAGAAAAAGACAACCTAATTAAAATATGGGCACTGGACATGAAGTGACTCTTCACCAAGGAGGAGAGCCAGGCAGCCAAAAAACTTATGAAGAAATGTTCAAGATCACTAGCCATTAGAGACATGCAAATCAAACCAACAATGAAACATCATCTCACACTGGCAATAACAGCAAAGATCAAAAAAGTAGAGGACAACAAGTGCTGGTGGGAATGTGGAGAGACTGGGACACTCATGTTTTGCTGGTGGGGTTGCAAAATGATCCGACCTCTCTGGTAAGTAATATGGCATTACCTCAGAAAGTTGGCAATGGAAATACCTTATGATCCAGCAATTCCTCTACTTGGTATTTACCCACAAGAAATACAAGCCATAACACAAGTAGATATATGCACATCAATGTTCATAGCAGCACTATTTAAAATAACAAAAAGATGCAGGCAGCCTAATTGCCCATCAACTGAAGAATGGATAAACAAACTGGTACATAGACACAATGAAATATTATACTACCTTGAAGAATAACAAGGAAGCTGCAAGCCACCACATAGCATGGATGAACTTTGAGGACATTATGTTGAATGAAATTAGTCAATCACAAAAGGAGAAATACTGCATAGGACCACTAATGTAAAAGACTAAAGAAAAGAACCCATACTAAAGGGAGAGGAGGATTCTTTGCTTGTTACTGGGATGCGGGCAGTGGGGTAAGGGGAGGGAAGGAAAGGTGGAGCACAGGGTAGGGAATAGACACAGGATAGTTTAGGTGCTAGGGAGGGGGGCAATACACAAGGAGGGGAAGGGTAATGGAAGAACAAAGTAGATGGAAAAACAATTAGGCAGGTTTGCGTGGGACATAAGTAAATAATGATGTATGCACAATCTTGAAAAACAGGGCTAAGGGATACAGGGATTGAGACATGGCTGGAATGGGGAAAAGGGGAAAAATAATGTTAAGATGCTTGGCTGTCTTTTGAATCTTGGTTTCCCTTGCATACCATTATAAAATAGACACTTGAGGGGGAGAGAAAGGAATAGCCAGAAATATCACCATAGAAAACGTGTAAGTCCATCTTCAGCCTATAACTGATTGGAATACCTATAATAGGGCTACAATGTGCCCAGTGAAGGAGGCTTCATGTGTATCCTCTGCATTACATAAGACCATAGATGGAATCCTGAACTCCATCCAGAATTTTCTGAAGTGGGACATTTCCACTTGAAAGGTCAAGCAGATCAGCCTGAAGCAGCTAGAAGAACAGAAGTTACTTCTTCAAAGAAAGACTGACAGGAAAAATACAAAACAATATAAGCAGTCTGACTGATTACTACAAGAATAAACAAGGTGTTTGTCCAAGAGACATCAAGCCAAGTGATCAAGTCCCCTCAGGACAAACCCACTTCTAAGAATAAGACTCAATGGGAATATACACTCTGATTGGTGACCATGTTCATCACCGATAAGGGGAAGTGAGGGAAAAACAGCAATGAAGCTGCAAGCTAAGCCTACCATGTTCATTAGACTCCTGTAAACCTGGGTGGAGTCCTAGTTGGCCAGTAGTGTGGCAAGATCTGGGGACTCCTGGGCCCAGAGTCAGTGACATAGCCACAGAGGACTAGAGTGGAGAGTGAAGCATCCAGCTCATAAGAAGAGAGGGCATATGCACAAGAACACCCACACTTGCAGATAATACCCACTTGACCTGGCTTCAATGACTGGAAGATCAGAACTCAAGAAGAAGAAGAAGAAGAAAGAGGAAGAAAAAAAGAATAATCTGATAAAATTTGACGAACTTGACCTATACCTATGGATGCAGTCTTTCAAAAGAGGGAACAAATGTTTATAGCAAGGACCATTCTCACTCCCTTGATATGCAGAGTAGACAGGGATGGGCAACTAGGAGTTTGACTACACAAAATTGAGTAGGTACAAAGGCAAGAAATGACTGGCTTATGAGCTTTCATGAGGGAGTCTAGATCCAGAGGGCACGGAGGAATGTAAAATCTCCACTGAGTAGTATCCAATCTGTTTGGGTGGGGCTGATGAAAGGAGATGGGGTTAGGAGTCTTGTGGTACAATAGTGAATTATTGTTGTCAGGATCGACTGTGAGGGTTGCAAATGTAAAGGTAGATGTTTTGTAACCAAAAGGATGGAGTGGGTTGACTTTGTAGTCCATGAGCGGAGGTCCCTGGAACCATCAAGGGAAAAAAGCGGAGTGTGGGACCCTACCCAGAGAAACAGTGATGTTAGAGATAGAGGCAGAGACAATGACATGGAGAAATGGATCAGCTGGGGACTCTAGACCCAGAGAGGGAGAGTAGCTGTGTGCTGACGACCGAGGGACAGGCTTGTGGGGGAATACCCTTTGGTTGGTTGATGATGCATAGAGGGGATTGTAACCATGTCAAAGAAACAATATACAATAGGATGGATGTAAAGCTAATATTTTTCCCATGCAAACTATCATATAATTCATAATAAAACATTAAAAAAATAAGTAAATAAATAAACCCAATGCAGGATGCAGCTGTTCTCGAGTCAGAAATGCCTCTTGTCGGCCATACTGCAGACACACCTCACTCCTGTCTTCAGCCTCTCAGCAATGTGGCCCCATGGCCTCTGCCCTGCTCAGGCTAGTGTTACCAAGTTCCTTTCGTCAGTGTGTAAATGTCCAAAGGGCACAGTCTACAAGGCAGCCTCCTGCCCTACGCACTCAGCTTAATCAACCCTAGACCTGGACGCCTGCAGATGCTCCACGTCACCGCCTTTGCCACTGCCTCTGCTGTTTCCACTCTTCTAGGTGGGGATCTCACACTCCACCCATTCTCTTCTTTTTTGATGGTCCTGGGATCATCTGTTCCTGCTTCTGAGATGGCTCCTTTTAAGCCTAGGGAGATGGCAAAACTAACCAATTCCAGCCGAAGAGTCCTGTACACCTTATTTACATCGTCCCACTCGAGTATTTGGTGGGAATTAAGAAGTTCTTGGAAAGACTGACCCTGTCAAGTATATTCAAGGTACCAAAAGTGTTTATTCTACAATGTCACACCATGACTCCATATATAACTGTATTGTTTTTTAGAGCCATGACATCAGTTTTGACTCATAGAGACACTGTTTAGTGTTTCCAAGGAGCTGTTGGTGAGTTTGAGCCACTGACCTTTCTGTTAACAATGTATTGTTTTTTTTCTACAACACTACATAAGGACTCCCATCTGACTATTTGTTGTTACAAGTGCTGTCAAGTTGCTTCAGATTCATAGAGACCCTGTATAGGGACTCCAAAGAGCAGCTGGTAATTTTGAACTGCCGACCTTATGGTTGAAAGTCCACGGCTGGTCCTACAGTGAGTCTTAAAATCTTGCAAGTGTCCACCTCAGATACAATAATTGATCACTCGCCATCTGAAGCACAGAGTGGGGAGAGAATCATGCTTGCTTTTCTCTCTTTATCCTCTCTCCTCAGGACACTGGAGAGAGTCAGGAATGCACAGCAGAGCAAATATACTGAAGCCCTACCTTTCCAGTCAGAGCATGGGAGGTTTGGTGAAGGAATCCTAATTTTCCATTTTCAGAATTGGAAAGTGTTGGAGAAATGGCTTAGAGGAGGACATTTTAAAAAGCAATCTCATGCACTGGGTGTTTTTGAAAAAGAAACTTCCCAGCCTGCCATAGGGGGCACTCAAGACCCAGGGTGAATCAGAGAGGCCTGGGCTCCTCCCCTAGTCCCACCCAATTACCTCACCCCCAGCACCACACCACTTCTGAGGATACAACTTGGTAGTCTTCTAAAACAGACTTTCAGTTACTGCTGCTCCCTGCCTGTCTCATCAGTTAGGAAGACGAGCGCTAACCATCTGTCCCTTGCTCTAGGAATGGTCCTTTTTTTTTTTTTTTTAGTATGACTTGAGTTTTCCAAAGATTATTCTCTTCTTACTCTCAGCTCTTATCATCCAGTTCCATTTTCTTCTAGGGTCCAATAGGGGACGACATGTTGTGGTCTCTAGTTCTGCTCCTAGCTTTCCTGGCTCCTGGTAAGTGTGTTTCATGGGTGCTGAAGGGATTTCTTTAAATGAGAGGCTGAAGTAAGGAATAACTCATTTTTGTTGATGTTCCCTTTGCAGGAAATCAGAAAGCTTCCAACATGGAAATGAGACAAAAGTCAATCATCAGGCCAACTGAGGCATCGGTCGCAATCACTTGTGATCTTCCAGATCAGAACACCAAATACGTGCACTGGTACCGATACCAAGAGGGAAGAGCCCTGCAACGCTTCCTTTACTACAATTTCCGTGACTCAAAGGTGGTGTTGGACTCAGGGTTCAGTTCAGGGAAATATGATGCTTACGAAATTGCAAGGAAGAGCTGTGTATTTGTACTCAGTAATCTGGAAAAAAGTGATTCTGGTGTGTATTACTGTGCCACTTGGAACTGACACGGTGATTCAGACCTACCCTACCGTACACTTAAATTTTTTTTGTGTATGTGGTTAGCAACAGCCCTGGTACATAAGACAGACCTGCACTTGTCTCCTCACTTCCTGTACCTAATTTCATGGTGTTCGTAACTATGAGAAACTCTGAGCTCAACACCTAACCCTCTGGTAGTGTCGTGGTTATGAATTGGGCTGCTAATCTTATGGTCAGCAGTTCAAAACTACCAGCGGTTCCATGGGAGAAAGATGAGACTTTCTGCTCCTATAAAGATGTACAGCCTCAGAAACCCTATGCAGAGTTGCTATGAGTAGGGACCGAGTGGATGGCAATAAAACAATAACAGAAACATATACCAAAATAATTTCCCTGGAGGCTCTATGACCATTTACCTGAGTAACTGTACACTAAGGGCAGGAGAATGCACAGATCTCTCAAATGGTTGTTGGAGACATAATTTGAACTAACACTGAGACCCGGAAATTCAAATTGTCATTGTAGTCCCCAGTTATAGTGAGGGTCTATGGAAGGCAGGCATTTAAGGAGTTCTGGTCCAAGTTCGTCTCAATGAGTGGTCTAAGAGATGTATGGACTAACCAGGATCATTACCTTAGTTTCTATGCATAGAATCAAGATTGATATAAGTAGCAATTCAGCAGAATCTTCATATTGGTCCCTTGATCTTTGTAGTTAGAGACATCATGGTAGAAAAGGGCACATGAAAGCTTCTGAATCCCTGCCCATGCCTGTCAGGACTGTACATCAAAAGCAATACTGCATACCATGCATATGGCAGAGGTGGGTGACACTCTTAAATACATAAGGTGTGTAGAAGTAGGAATGCATCATATCCCCATTTAGTTAAACCGGTTTCTCATGATAAATGAGTGAGCATCACAGCAATGCTGCAATGTTGAAATGCAGTGTCTTTACTAGAAGACATACTTGTTATGTAGTATCATGGTAATCAAAGGAGCTCTGGTAGCGTAGTGGTTACGAATCGGGCTGCAAACCTTAAGGTCAGCGGTTCGAAACTACCAGTCGCTCCACGGGAGAAAGATGAGGCTTTCTACTCCCGTAAAGATTTACACCCTCGCTATGGGTCGGAACCGACTCGATGACACTTAACAACAACAAACATCATGGTAATCATGTTTTTTGTTTTTTTTCCCGCTTTTTTTCCGGTGCTCATCAATAAAGACTTTCAGATGCAATTCACACTCATTTTGGGATGGCTGATAGTACATATCCAAGGTCTTGGCCCAGTGCTTTGCAAATTCTCCTGACTTATGTTGCAATTCAGTCTGAAGGGTCTTTACTCATCTGGATTTTTTTAAATAGCACAATGATCTGTTATATTGGTAACATGAGATTGGTTGATTTCAAAACTTACCAATAAGTCATAATCAGCATAATGAGCTCTATTGTTCAGTGTATAACTGTTTTTGTTTACCTTATTAATATCAACAGATAATAAAAATTTGATTAAAGTAGGGAGTGTTATCAGTCCAGTAGGAGAGACTGAATTGGGAAACAAAGAAAACATAAGCCTCATTGAAACTTAGTTATTAGGACCTTCACTTTATATCTTATACAAAAACCAACTCATAATAGATTAAAGACCTAAATGTGAATCCCAGGATTATGAAGGCCATCAAAGAAAAAATCAGAACAAATGTGAGGGCATTAATTCAGGGAATACACAGTCTACCAAACATTTTGAAAACTACACTGACAAACATAGGCAAATAGATGATTGGGACATACTAAAAATTAAAAACTTACATGCATCAAAAGACTTCACCAGAAGAGTAAAAAAGAAGCCCAAAGAATGGCAAAAAATCTTTTGCAAAGACACATCAGACAAGGGACTCCTTTCTAAAAATATATAGGGAACTACAACACCTCTACAAGAAAGAGACAACCCAGTTAAAAATGGGCACAGGACATGAACAGACTCTTCACCAAGGACGAGATCCAGGCAGCCAACAAGCATGAAGAAATGATTATAGTCACTAGCTATTAGAGAGATGCAAATCAAAACAACAATGAGATATCATCTCACACCAGCAATAACAGCAAAGATAAAAAAAAAAAGTAGAGGACAATAAATGCTGGCGAGGATAAGGAGAGACTGGGACACTTCTGCATTGCTGGTTGGATTGCAGAAGGATCCAACCTCTCAGGAAGTAATATGGCATTACCTCAGAAAGTTGAAAATAGAAATACCTTATGATCCAGCAATTGCTGTACTTGGTATTTACCCAATAGAAATACTAGCCATAACACGAGTAGATATATGCACACCAATGTTCAGAGCAGTACTATTTACAATAGCAAAAAGATGGAGACAGACGAATTGCTCATCAACTGAAGAATGGATAAACAAACTGGTCCATACACACAATGGAATATTATGCTATCTTGAAGAATAACAAAGAAGTTGCATGCCACCATATAACAAGGATTAACCTTGAGGACATTATGTTGAGTGAAATTAGTCAGTCACAAAAGGAGAAGTACTGCATAGGACCACTACTATAAAAGAATAATGAAAAGATCCCATACTAAAGGGGGAGGTGGATTCTTTGCTGGTTACCGGGATGTGCGCGATGAGGTAAGGGGAGGGAGGGGAAGGAGAAGCACAGGGTATAGAATAGACACAGGATAGTTTGGGTGCTAGGGAGGGGGGCAATACACAAAAAGAGGGAGGGGTATGGAAGAACAAAGCAGATGGAAAAACAATTAGGCAGGTTTGCATGGGCTAAGTGGGACAGAAGTAAATAATGATGTATGCACAATCTTGGGACATCAGGGCTCTGGGACACAGGGATTGATATATGGTTGGAATGGGGAAAAGGGGGAAAATAATGTTAAGATGCTTGGCTGTCTTTTGAATCTTGGTTTTCCTGGCATACCATTATAAAATAGACACTTGAAGGGGAGAGAAAGGAATGGCAGAAATATCACCATAGAAAGCTTGTAAGTCTGTCTTCTGCCTATAACTGATTGAAATACCTAAACCGGGGCTCCAATGTGCCTGGTAAAGGAGCCTTCACGTGGATCCTCTGGATTACATGAGACCATAGACGGAATCCTGAATTCCAACCAGAATCTTCTGAGGTGGGAAATTGTCACTTGAAAGGAAAAGCAGACCAGCCTGAAGCGGCTAGAAGAACAGAAGACACTTCTTGAAAGAAAGACCGACAGGAAAAATAAAAAAACAATATAGACAGTCTGACTGATTACTAAAAGAACAAGCAAGTTGCTCTCCAGGAGACATCAAGCCAAGTGGTCGAGTCCCCTCAGGGCAAACCCCCTTCTAAGAATAAGATTCAATGGGAATACACACTCTGGTTGGTGACCACGTTCGTCACCGATAAGAGGAAGTGAGGGGAAAACAGCAATGAAGTTGTGAGCTAAGCCCTACCATGTTCAATATAATCTTGTGAACCTGGGTGGAGTCCTGGTTGGCCAGAAGTGTGGCAAGACCTCTGGAATCCTGTGCCCAGAGTCAGTGACATAGCCACCGAGGACTAGAGTGGAGAGTGAAGCATCCAGCTCATAAGAAGACAGGGCATAGGAACAAGAACACCCCCACTTGACCTGGTTTCAATGACTGGATGATCAGAACTCAAGAAGAAGAAGAAAGAAGAGGAGAAAAAAAAGAGTAATCTGATACAATTTGATGAACATGACCTACACCTATGGATGCAGTATCTCAAAAGAGGGAACAAATGTTTACAAGGAGGACCATTCCCACTCCCTCGATACACAGGGTAAACAGGGATGGACAACTTGGAATTTGGCTACACAAAATTGAGGGGCTACAAAGGCAAGAAATGACTGGCTTACAAGCTTTCATGAGGGAGCCTAGATCCAGAGGGTGCAGAGGAAGGTAGAATCTCCACTGAGCAATATCCAATCTGTTTGGGCGGGGCTGATAAAAGAAGATGAGGTTAGGACTCTTGTGGTACAACAGTGAACAATTGTTGTCAGGATTGACTGTGAGGGTTGGAAATGTAAAGGTAGATGTTTTGTAGCAAAAGGGATGGAGTGGGTTGTCTTTGTAGTCCAGGAGCAGAGGTCCCTGGGACCATCAAGAGAAAAAAGCGGAGTGCCGGACCCTACCCAGAGAAACAGTGAAGTTAGAGATGGAGGCAGAGACAATGACATGGAGAGATGGAGCAGCTGGGGACTCTAGACCCAGAGAGGGAGAGTAGCTGTGTGCTGATGACCGAGGGGCAGGCTTGTGAGGAATACCCTTAGGTTGGTTGATGACGTATGGAGGGGATTGTAACCATGGCAATGAAACAATATACAATAGGATGAATGTAAAGCTAATGTTTTTCCATGAAAATTATCATATAATTAACAATAAAACATTAAAAATAAGTAAATAAATAAACTCAATGCAAGGTGCAGCTGTTCTCGGGTCAGAAATGCCTTTTATGGATCATACTGCAGACACACCTCACTCCTGTCTTCAGCCTCTCAGCAATGTGGCCCCGTGGCCTCTGCCCTGCTCAGGCTAGTGTTACCAAACTCCTTTAGTCAGTGTGTAAGTGTCTAAAGGGCACAGTCTACAAGGCAGCCTCCTGCCCTAGGCACTCAGCTTAATCGACCCTAGACCTGGATGCCTGCAGCTGCTCCACGTCACCACCTTTACCACCACCTCTGCTATTGCCTCTTTTCTAGGTGGGGATCTCACACTCCACTCATCCTCTTCTTTCTTGATGGTCCTGGGATCATCTGTTCCTGCTTCTGGGATGCTCCTTTAAACCTACGGGAATGGCAAAACATATCAATTCCAGCCAAAGAGTTCTGTACACCTTATTTACATAGTCCCATTTGATTACTTGGTGGGAATTAAGAAGTTATTGGAAAGACTGACCCTATCAAGTATATTCAAGGTACCAAAAGTGCTTATTCTACAATGCTACACCAGGACTCCATAACCTACTGTGCCATTGGCATCAGTTTTGATTCACAGAGACACTGT